TGCTAAAAAAAGTCTGTATTGTACTGAAGTCAAAAGAATTTAGACAGTCAATAGGATTGTGATCCTATTAAATGCATTTTGATGGTTTTCAGTAATTTCAATTCTTTCTGAAATTAATGGCTATATGAGAAAACATGCTTAAGATTGCTCTGCAAAGACCTTTAACAGGCTCTTTATAGAGGTGCAATTACTGAGTCTAATAATATTCACCTTCACAAAAATAATTGAGAATTATAGCATTCAGCTGGCCAAGAACTCACTAGGCAAGCAAGCACTATAAACTGAGTTGATGAATACTGCAGTATGAGAAGTATGCAAGTTCTGCATTCTTCCACATATACAGCATTCATAACATTTGAGTCTACTGAATATAGACTGCTAACAGAGGCTTGGAATCAAAGTCTGTACATTTTGCATATACAGAGATTTCATTGGATGTTAATGAGATAGAATCCATGAGGTAACATTTTAATTCACTGAATAATAGTTTTGTTCTACATCCAATTTCTACCCCTCACTGTTCAAAATGAATTAGAGTATAAATATCTTTGCACACAATTAGCTGACTCACACATAGCCTTAATGTGATTAGTTTGACTTTGACTCAGCATGTTGTATAAACTCAGCTAATTGTAATTTATTCACTATACCTTGAATAATAAATCATTGCTGAATGTAATTTGTATATCTAGCCAACCATTGGTCATGCTAACTCAATATAATTCAATCTTGCACTATTGATTTCAGTGATTACCTTATTCTGGATCTAACGCAGAAGTGAGTGGGGACCTGTAGTCCTTCAAATGTGGCTGAATTACAGTTCACAGCATCAGTCACAGCTGTCTATATTAGCTGAGCTGATAAAGAGATTCTGTCATTTCTCCTGTCTACCCTACATTAATAGTACAAAATCAAAAGTTAAGTGATCAACTGGATTTTTCTTTTTAATTTTATTGAAAATTCAACAGCCTATGCATTGTCAACTGAAGCAAACTCTTCAATCAACATCAAACTTTTAAAAAGAATCTCAGAGGACAGCTTACTGACTTGTTTATTGCTAAGACATAGCTTGCATCTATTTTGAGGGCAATGGAAGGAACAAGCTGCCAAACAGAACACCACTGACTGCTAGGCAATACATCATATCTGAGCACCAGAGAATATTTCTTACCTATACAGTATCAAGTATTTTTTCATTCTTGATGGCAGGAGTAGGATTACTTTAAACATAGTTGAATGCATATGTGTGGGTATACCTAGCCATGTATATGTAAAGCAGCAACAGGGAAAGATTAAAACATGATGTAAAGAATCAACATCAAAGCAGCAATTTTTGACATATATCTTTTGAAAAATGAAGTGTTTTTTCTAACGTTCTGTTACTTCATCCAACATAATGCCTTCCGTGTGTGTGTTACACTATAACTTCAGTCAGCATATCCGTTGACTATACTGGCTAAGAATTCTGGGAGTTCAACATATCCAGAGAACATCAGTTTCTGGAAAATAAGTCCTGATATTGGAATCAGGTTCACAGGACAAGACATCCACAGCAGCAGGGGGTTTCATCAAAAAGATGAAACATGCATTGAGATGTCATGACACAAGCTCTGTGCCTTATGTACTTGCATGTCACAACACAAGTACAAAATAGGCACATTTGTGTCACAATGTTGTGATACATGTTTCATCACTTGCCCGCTTTTTCCCACCCCCACAGATACCCATGTCACAGAATCACTTGAATTCCATAAATATTGTTATGGATTTTTTTCCCATTACAGGACTTGTTAAAAAAACACTGATTCACTGTTTGACTGTCTCTTCTTTTTGGAAATAGCAACATGGAGATTAAAATGTTATAAACATATTGAAGAAAGGCTGAAAATAACAAAACCTGGAAATTAATAATCTATACTATTTAATTAGTGGTTTGCAACTTCAAGCCTCTTATTTTGAAGTAATCTTCCTAAAATTTCAGTCTTTGGGAAATATCCTGGAATAGGTCCCAGAAACAAGCATATACTACAGGATATTTGTCGACAAATAATTTAATGCACTTATTTCACCTTTTCCTCCAAGTAGCTCAAGAATGTTTTTACAAGAAGCCTGGTGAAGTGGGTTGGAATGAAAGAGATTAGCTCCAAGCCTTCATTGAACTTCCATCACCAATGTACTCCAAATCCAGATCTTTAATGCAACTCTGTCCTTGATTCCTCAATCTGGTGTTTCATTAGGACAGTCGGAAAAGGTATTCCATCCAAGTTGTGTAATGATTAGTACTGGATTTGAGCCAGGGAGACCCACATTCGACTTTCCACTGTACCATAATTATGGAGTCATTGTATGTTTTTGTCTATAACTCTCCCTCAGCCTGACCTATGGGGTCATTGCAGGGAGAGGCTGAGAGGAGACCCACAGGAGACTACAGCAGGGGTGGTCATTACATGTGTTGTGATGTCATTGTCTAAATTATAAGAATAACGTATGGCATGTCCCTTGTGTCATGATGCAACTGATGAAAATTACCCAGTTTGCATGATGTCACTGTGGCTTGTGTGTGGGTTACCAATGGGAAGATCCCTACGTAAGCCTTCTTGAGCTCTCCAGGCAAAAAGTGGGATAATAATGCAACAGTAAATAAGTACCCTGCTTCTCAGCTTTTGTAAAGCAGCCTTTCCAACCTGGAACCGCTGGACGATTAGGACTGTAATATCAACGCATGTGGAAGACACTAGCCTTTCCCACCTCTTGCAACTTGCTCCGCTGGACTAACTTTCCTCGTCTCCTCGTTTTCCTAGCAATTTGGGGAAGAGGGAAGGCTGCGTTTACGAGCCCAGGGGCCACCCCGCCCGATGCCCACTGCGGAGGAAGCTTTCCTCGGGAAGAGGGCACGGGTGTGCCGCCTCTGCTTTCCCGGACTGATTCTCAGCGCTTCTGGCGCTCGCCCCTCCGCGCGCGCGCACCCACCCAGGCACGCACCTGGCCTCCAGAAGCAGCGGGGTCGCCGGCCACTTGGCCGCCAGCCGGGCAGTCACCGCCTTACGCGGGACGCTTTCGGCGCCTCGCGAATCTATGCTAAGAAAGAGCATCCCGGCCACAAAAACCGGCACCAGCCCGACCATGATCCTCCCGAGTTTTGCCTCTCAAAAGAAGAGTCGCCCGGATCGGCTGCCACGCAAGGCTTCAGCCCAGTCCAGGACCCCGTCCCTCTCTTTCCCGCGAGCCAATCCCTTTGCTTCTTCCCGGCGCGCTCCCGCCTCCCTCAGCCCGGCCTTCGAGCCTCGCGGTTCCCATTGGAACTTTCCTTGGACCAATCGGCGACGAACGCAACAGCGGCGGCCCGGGAAAGCCGGCGCGCGCGGAGGGGAGGGGCCTGAAGTGCAGTGGGGGGAGCTGGGAGAGCGCTGACACCGCCCCGGGACTTATGGCTGAGCAGGCTCGTGCGCTTGCGGCCAGTGACTCGCGGAGTGTTTGCAGAGATGGGCCTGTTTTGTTATACCTTCTTTTCTCCTTCCTCCTTTGTAATCGTCATTTTTAAATTAATCTAAATAAATTGCTAATCCGCCCTTTCACTACACCTCGGCCTGAGCGAGCCCCAAGGAGTCATCGGGCGAGGATACTGCACAACTCAAATAACTTCGAGAGCCACTTAAGCCACAGGGTTTTTCCGCTCCGTTTAACAGCTGTATGAAACCGCCAGGGGAAGTCATCCGTACGTCACGGCCCCTCGCGAAGTAAGGAACGCTGTTGATGAAACGGGGTAAATATAAGGGGTTTTTTTTCTTTTTCAAAAAACCCACTCTATTTGCTTGTATGTTGCTTGAATCCAGGCAACTTGATTAACTGAGTAAACCATGGTTAAGATAACCATGGACCAGTGTGTCATGGAGACACAGCCCATCTGTCCCTCAAATGTCACCACATCTACAGCTTTACATATAGGGCCAAATTACAATTACACAAAGATCTGGTTCATACATCATATTAGGCCTTTGGCTGCTTTTAAATAACATTAATTAAATTTCAATATTTTATTTTTAATTAAGGTTCTATCAAGATGGAGTTGCTACTCAGATTGTAAATATCTTTATATCTGGTAGCAGACCCTGCCTAGTGGTCATCTGGATTTTTGCCATTAATTATATAGTTTTTTTCAACATTATGGCAATTGCTGCCATATTTAGGGGAAAACAAGGAAAGGAGTAGTCACCCCTAGGGCTGTTTGGTGGGAGACAGCAGAAGCAGGTCAGAGCCAATGCTGGGAGGAGGAAAGGAAGGTGGCTTCCAGAATGAGTGAGCATTCGCCTACCTGGGGGGAAAAAGTAAGGGGGAGGGAGTGGGGGTCCCAAGGACTGAGGTATGGGGGATGGCTCCAGTTCCCAGGAGAGGTCTAGGAAAGGAGGTGGGTAGGAGTGGGATTCACTGAAAGGAGTCCCTGGGTGGGGAAAGGCCAGAGGGTACTCATGGCCCATTCTCATGGGGTAGCAATATGCTAAAGGCAGATCATCTTCAGCAGAACTTTGAAGCAACACCAGAAAGGTGTCAGTGCTGGAAGGCTGGGAAGGCCCTGGAGGGGTCCTGGAGGGAGAAATAGTGATGGGCAGAGGAAGGAATGGTGGGAAGCAGGGGGGCAGGTTATTATAGGAGAAATGGGATTGGGTATTTGATGCCAATCCTTTCCTGGTCCCCCAGCCTCAGCCCAAGGTCCTAAATGCCTAGCCTCAGCCAAACAGTTATATATCAGTTTGGAACTGTATACCCCCAAGGTCAGGATGGCCCCACCCTGTTAACCGGTATATTTTGGGAGCTATCCATTGTTTAAGTATTTTTTTTCCAAGCAATGCTTCTCAAATAATTACACCGAACATAAATAATATACATAAAAAGGTTTTTCTGGATACTGATAGATGGGGACCATTAAACCTTACCCTAAGGATAAACACTCTTCAAATGAATGTAATTCCCAGGATACTGTGTACAATACAGTGGTACCTCGGGATATGAACTTAATCCGTTCCGTGACTCTGGGCATATCCCGAGTGGGTCGTAAC